GAACGGACAGGTTGGCTTGTCCTTATGCGCTTTAGGCCCTCTGAATGTTTCGGCATGTGCTTGTATTTTAAATGGGGAGGCACACCTTAAATGCCAGTGCTGAGAAGCAGAGACAGGCAGATCTCTCTAAGTTCCAGGGCAGCGTGCACTACAAAGCAAATTCCAGGTCAGCTGGTGCCACACAGCCTAGGATGGCTTTGAACACTCCATGTAGCCAACCTGAACTTCTGATCATCCTGCCTCCACCTTGAGTGCTGGGATAGCAGAAGGTGTGCCACGACACCCAGTTTTATGTGGTGCTGGAGATGGAGCCCAGGGGCTCAAGTGTGCTCCATAAGCAGCCTGCATCTCAAGCCCTAAGTGTTTAAAGAGGAGAAAACCAGACGTGTGAGCTAATAATAGTAGCGGCATTATTAATGAAGATAGCATTTTCACAAAGCACAGAATGAATTCTTCTGAATGACCAAACCCAAAAGCGAGACTACCTCCTTGCATTCATAATTATCTCAGATCCTCCAGCTAGGAGACTGCAGCAGCCTGCCAAAAGACCGGAGTCGTAAGAGTCAGAGCTAGGTGGTAAAGGACAGCCAACAGGCAGGGTGGGCCTCCTCTTTGACCCAGCTCAATGACCTGAGGTTCAAGTCCACAAACCCCACGCTCTAGCAAGACTGTCAGCTAGCAAGACCCCTACAGACCTTAAGGGCAAAACTGCCAAATCCAAGATCACTAAACCTACAAAGCCAAATGGATATCACACGGATGGTCAGTTGTGAATCCAGACCAGGTAACCTAGGCAGTTTTTAATCACAGACTGGATGTCTGCCCCCACAGCAGGTCCAGGCTGCACCTAAGAGCTGGAGAAAAGGGTTTATTTGCAAGGCTGGGTTACATTTTTCATGTGCTGCTGTAAAGTGAACCTGACTCAGAATACCTCCCTCCTCCACAGCTCTGAGACCAAGGCAAAGCCAGCCACTGAAATATACAGAAAAATGCTGGGCCACGGACCAGCATCATTCAATCCTAGTGACGATCCTCTTTTCTCCTCCTGCAGAATCTCCTAGAATTCCAGCCCAGAATACTAGGCTATTTCAGCAGAAAGCAACCTCCAGATGGCCTTCTTTGAAAGGATAAACTAGGACTGGGGGTGTAGCTTAGCAGCGCTTGCCTACCATGCATGGGCTCAATTCTCCAGCATAAACACTACCAGGTACCCTGGGGAATGCCTATAAACCCAATACTGAGGAGGAGGCCAGGGCAGAAGGAACGCAAGTTCAAGGCCAGCACAGGCTACATAGTGAGACTCTGTCTCATATTACAGGGGTGGGGTAGAGCCCAAGGGGAAGAGACAGGCCCGGAAGCATCCTCCAGGACTAGGTTACAGACACCAAATTCCAAACCCCATGAACATCAAACACCACCACTGCGCTCCAACCCCCTGCCCAGTACCTGGCCTGGACTCCAGCAAGGGCTTGGTACATGTAAGCATCAACAGACTCCTGGGTCCCTTTCTGAGACCTGTATAAACAGCTGTGGCAGGTTAGGACACAGATAACTTCATCTGAAATGTCCCCATGAAACATTTCCCAAAAGCTGAGCTAGCCCAGATGGCCTCCAGGTTTCTAGAGGAGAAGGGCCTCCCAGACATGCTGCAAGAGCCTCTAGAAAGGTTCAGTTTAGCCTGGCAAGGAAGAGACACTGAGCAAACAAGGAGGATGCATTCTCCAGCAAAGACTCAGGCTGAGCTCACGTAAGCCTTCCAACTGGGTGGCACAGTCCCTCATAGTTCCCAAGCCTCCACTTCTCCATTTCTACTACAGAGCTTGCATTAGATAAAACACATTAAGATCTACAGTAGAAAGCTGGGTGTGGCGGCTCACACTTTTAATCCTAGCACTCAGAAGCCTGTGGCAGAAAGGTCATCAGGACTTTGAGGTCAGAATGGTCTGGAGGGAGACACTGTCTCAAAACAAACAAACAAACAAACAAACAAACAAAACAGATTACAGTGAAACAGACAAGGCTCACCAAAGATCTCCCGCCACTACCTACAACTCAGGTCTCCTAAAAGAAAAGGGCAAGGAGAGGAGATAGAAGAGAGGCTTAAACACCAAAGAAGGAAACCCAGCCCGGCCAGCTATCCTCAGCTGAGCACTCCCCCAAGGCCCAACCCAGCTTCTCCACTTCCCTGGGAACCTCTCAACTGCGCATCTTAGAGGAGGGATGAGGGGGCTCCTAGGTTAGGGGTAAAGAGGCAGGTGGGAAGACTAAAGGAGCTTAACAAGAGCTTGCTTCTGTACTGGGGAGAAGACACAGAGGAGGAACGAGAATGCCTATGATAGGTGAGGCACCTCCCAGGATTTGGGTCTAAGGAGCTATGGAAGGGCCCTGCTCACCCCTTCAGGAAAATAAAAACAGAACATGTTACATTGCAGAGGGCATAGCTCAGCCTCACAAGGGACAATTAGCAGCAGCTGGACCCTGGGACGTTAACAAGGGTAGGAGTGACTAAAAAGACAGGCTCTGCTCTCTGAGCAAGTCTCAAGGTCTCCGGGGCGGACTGTGAGCTCTTAAAGGAAAGGAGACACATGGACCCTGCCCCTTCTGCAACCTGCACACACTTCCCTATCTGTAAAACAAGGGCTAAATGAGGTGACCCTTTGTGGCCAAGATAGGATTTTTACAAGGCCTGACAGTCAACTAATATCACTCATCTCCGTGCAGCCGGAGCAGTCCTCCGGGCGCGGATGCTGCTCCAAACATCTGGAACAGAGTTCAAGTCATTTCCCAACACCCCAGGCCGTTTTCAATCAGGGACCCACAGACAACTCACCATCCATCAACACACAGGCGCTGCACCCCAGCTCATGACTGTCGAGAACAGGACGGTGCCCGTTCACGGTGTCTCCGGAGCCACTGGGACCAGTCCAGCATTCACAATAAACAAACACAGTAGTGGGTGCTGGGTCACTATCTCAACAGTTGTTTAGTTAATAATGTGGCCACCAGGGGGCACTGCCCTGACAGTAAAGAAGTAACAGAAAAACTCTTTCTGGTGTTTTCCTTCTTAGGCTTCGGCTACAAAGCATTGAAAGCTACACTAATAAAAACACTCGTTAGTATTCCTGAGCTGCTAGAATGGCCCAGAATCGGCCATCTCTTTGAAGCCAATGCTTGGGGAAAGGAAGGCAACTAGACCTTGAATTCAAGAACCCTTCCTGAAAAATTAATGCTCAATAAAGATTTTCCCGAGACAGACTGACACCCTGGGGTGCCCTGAGTCCCCCTGGCCGCTTTAAAGGCGCAAGGGCCCATCAGAAGGGCATGCCAACCTGCAGGTCTGGCAGTGAGTACCCAACCCTTAAGTCTCAGCTAGGACTGTTTCACTACATAACAGAACACACCAGGCCAAGGACAAGCCTCAGGTGTAAAGGGTGACACAAACTGTCAATAAAAAAGAGGCAAGGAATGAACTGGGGTTTCCCAAGAATTACATGACAGCAGGGGGAGCTCTGGTCCCCTCATGACAGAACTGGACTTCCAGAACATGTCAGAGGGGCTTCTCCAAATCTCTTTGCTGTCTAGGGCATCCTTTTCACATTGTGTTTATTTATGGTAGAAACATCCAACTGTCCTTTAAAAAAAAAAAAATGTTCCATAAGCTCTGGGCTTTTCCAAAGCTCTGGCTCCGAGTCCCTCTCAATTTCCTTGTGAATTCTAGGCTGCACTGAACGCCCTGCCAACCGTGAAAAGCCTGCTTTCTCCTTAGAGGCCTGTCTGGAAGACTTGGCCAAAGCCACAGGGGAACTGAAGGGTGTAGAACCAGGGCCTCTTATAAACGGGCATCGTCCCATCCAACTGTGATAAAAGAGGGCCTGTAAGGCTCGCCTGGGGCAGAGAAGCAGGAGGCTCTTGGACAGCCATGAGGGGCAAGGCAGTGCTGCCAGGGCGGCCTCTAAGTGCCAGCTCAGGCTGCTAACCTCTGTGCACCGAGGGATAAGGAAAACCAACTGTTCGATTCTCCAAGATTCAAGGGACCCACCAGGGGTGGAAATCCAAGTGAACTCCATTCTCAATCGTCAAATCTACCAAATGGAAACACTACTCAACAAAAGGTTTCCACCCCGAGTTTGCAAAAGGCTTTGGGGGGCTGGATTCTCTCAGGCTTTCATTGAGAAACTGTAGCCAGCTGCTCTTACTGAGAGGCAAGGCACACACCTGAACGACGCTCAGCACTCCAGTAATGTGTTTAGAATGAGATCTATCAAAGCCCCCGGTCACTGACACTGAAGCACCAGCACGGTGAGAGCCAGGTGCCCAGTCCGGATGGCAGAAGGCAACTCTACCCTACCCTACAGGGGGACTCCACCCATCACTTTCTATGCCCTGCCACCCGTTGGCCCTGGGACTGCGGGCAGGTACCCCACCTCTCTGCTGGTGGGGTGTCCCTCTTCTCAGACACGTGGCCCAGAATCACCACCCTGGCTAATTTGCAAGGCTGCTGCGAGGCTCTAATGAGACAGCAAATCACCACAGACAAGCCAAGTATCGCTACTCGTTTCAACTGGGCTTAGGCAGGATGCTATGCAATGACAGCTTCAGGAGCTGAGCACACACGAGGCACGTAGTAGGCTCCACACAAACGCCGGTCCCCTGCTCTACCGAGGGGAAGGAGAGGAGAAAGAAAAATACACCGGCGCAAAAAGTACCCCCAACCCCCGACTGATGGCGTGGACTCTCCGATCTCCCGGGTCGCACCGCCCCGGACGGCCGGGGATCTCCCGCCACGACCCCGGTGCACCTGAGAGCCGCGGTCCGAGCCCACAGTCCACAGCGGCCACGCTCCCCTCGGGCACAGCCCGCGGCCCCCCGCGGCCACCTTGCTGCTCCGAACCAGCCACCGCGCGCGCCGCTCCTCCCCGGGGCGCCGTAGTGTGCCCCGCGCCCGCCGAGGGCAGCCAGGCTCGGGCCGCGGGGGGTCCCCGAGCCGCGTCCCTTCTCACCTGCACAGCTCCGCGAAGGCCTGGAAATTGAGCTTCTTGACTTTCTTCTCGCTCAGCCAGTAGCCA